AAATTCACCTAAATTGCTTCTCAAATTTATACAACTAAGTTTTCAGATGATCTCTTTCCCTGTTGGATGGTGAGGTGTCTGTGTCTGTCACATTTGGAGCTTTGGGGTATAATGTGGTTGGTCAGAGTGGTTAAAGGTCCATTTCTTGATCTCAGTTCTGTTATTTCTGTGGGGCACCCAAGTGGCACCATGCATTTCCAAACCCATAACAAGTGTAAATAGTGTTCTCTTGTAAAAAGGTCTCTCTTCAGCATGGTAATATACCTTATTAAATTCCAAACATAATAAGTATTGATGGCAAACACATCAGGACCCAGTTCAGCTTCCACTATGATTTAGTTCTCTACAAATGACTTCGGCACTCAGCTCCCAGTGCATTTTGCTAATTACATCATAGATTTCCCTATTGATGAACACAAGCTGAATTAACACAGGAGCACTAATGTACCCTTTCACCATTATTGTTGTACAAGAAGCCGTGGCAGATGCTGGCAGTTAGTTACACAAACATTAGTATTAACGATTGGCCATTTGGAATTGGTGACAAACTACTGCCCGGCAGAATCCTGAGGCCGAAACCAATCAGGAAGTTAATGAGGAGAGAAATTACCGAGGCAGCTTCCCCTTAATTACATTCACACTAGGCATGAAGGGAGTTCTGGGGGTGGATCTAAATTCTGCTAAGGTTAAGAAGGTCAGAGACCCTTTTGCTTAAATTTTGTATCTACTGTGACTTCTAAGGTTGCAAAAAAAAAATTGTTGGGCCCATTATTATTTTTGCATCCTTCATATTAAGGTCAGTTTCCTGGTGGACTTTTCATGTTCATAGAATGGTTTCTTAGATTTCATGTTTTAGTGTGATATAATTCAATTTATGCTTTTCTATTAAAAAATCCCTTAGGCTTCCTGCCTTTTACTTTATAGCTATGCCTGCCGACCACCCCTCCCCCACTTTTGTTGTCCAGTGGTAGCCAAGAGAAATAAGAAGTTGACAGGCTGCCCGATTTACCTGCTTGATCTTGCCTTTCCTTGGGTGGAGGTGTAGGGGGTGGAGTCCTGCTTAGGGATCACTGCTCAGGTATGGATCTCTAGGAGAGGAGTTCCATTAGCATCCTTGACCTAAAGGTGAGGGGTGGGAATCTTCCAAAGTGGGTGGAGTGGTGTGTTGGCGGTTGCTTCTCAATGAACCTGAAGTCTGGGATCCTGCTACCCTACCTCACTTTGCCCTCAGTTAAGCAGATGTGCTGTGTGACTGGCTTTTACTCTAAGGCAGTGAAGGAGGGGTTCTGAGGGGCAATAGAAACGACAGAGTGCCTCTTTGTTGGAACTTACTGGAATACTCAAGAAAGACTAGCCATTTTTAACATACTGTCTCTTCCCTCACTTCCCAGTGTTCTCACCGCCCAGCAGTCAAGATTCCGGCTTGGTTTCCCTCTCCAGCAGCTCTCCGATGAGCAACGAGAGCACCAAGGGAGTTCTGGAATGCGAAACTGCACCCTCTGAGGCTGGCAGCTACCCTGTCAGCCAGGTCCTGGAAGAGGATGAAGACGAGTGAGCCGCCGCGGGTCGGTCGACTCCCGGTGTCCACAGGGTAGTTAGCAGAGGGCTTGTTCTGTTCTCGGCAGGGTTTGTTGTTTGATTTGACTGTTCCCGTTCACAAGTTTTGGTTCATATTCCTTAGAATTAGGTTTAAAACACTTGTAACAGTGCAGGGTTCCTGACTACCAACTGCAAAAGACCGAAGTGCCTGGCTCACCAAGTTTAAACAGTAGTCGAGTCTCTCTCTCCCTCCCCACGCCTGTCCCCCCCCCCAACCCCAACCCCTTCTGAGAAACTAATTGACTGTCCTCCGACCAAGTAATCACAATTACAGGCTATTTTGGGAATTAAAATGAAATCTTCGGTGCCTTAGATTGTTATCAAGTTTTCGGGATTTTAATAAAACCAAGAAAATATAAATTTAGCCAAGTACTTGACCAGAGAGAAGAAGAGCAGGCAGATGACTTCGGAACTATGCAGGAAGTAAATGGAGACACTGTTGCTGTGTGGCTGTTGGCAATGGTTGTATCACACACTCCAAATCCAAACATAACTGAAATACAGCGAGAGAAAACTGTTCAAAGGCTCTTTTCCAACAAAGGATAACTTAAAAGAATACAATGTGAAGTAACCTGGTGAGGCATTTCCTGGGTGGTGTTCCTAGAATGAGTTTAACGTGTACATTTTCTTTACTACAGGGGAAAAAATGGAGGCAATCGAGAGGATTTTGTAACCCTAGGTTGTAATCTGAGTTGAAAACAAGTACATCTCTAAAAGTTACCACTGAAATTTGAGTTCATTATTTTGTTAAAAAAAATTGCTTTTGGAATACTTCCTCATGTTACAGAAGCCATCCTGAAATGAAACTAGTCTAAAAAATTAATTGTGGTGTGTGGTTGCAGCTGTACCTGAAATAAAAACGTTATTGATGACTGCATTTTCTTGTGTGTATATTTGGGGAGCCGCATTAAACAGGGAAAAAAAAGAAATTACTTGTATTTTTTTCGCTCTGTGCCTTGAAAACATCTATTTGATTTCACCCCCATCTGTTGTAATCAATAACCTGACCATCTTGTTTTTTATTAAATGCACTTACTCTTAATTTCATCCACCAGTGGTTTTAGAGAGAATAATGTGGAGTTACCTATATAGGTTTGACATTATAAATCACTTCTTGGGGCTGAATCGTATAGCGGTATCGATTGATCCTGATATATCACAGAAATTTACTGTCTCTTCTGTTTTCAATTAAAGATACAATCAGTCAGATAATGACTTAATTGGATTTTACAGAAGATTGAGTTTTATTGCCCAGTGCTTTACGAGTTTAGTTAAGGAAGATCATTTTATCACACTTGTCAGGCCGCTGCTACTGCAGCCCGTGCCCTTCTGCAGCTGTAGCTACTGTGGCGACGACATCGGAGACTGCGGGCGGGCGCGAGGAAGGGGAGCGGTTCCTGGTGGCTTTCCCGTTCCCCGCCCGAGGGCTGTCGCTGGCCCGAGGCGGTGCCCACGGTTGGGGTCCCCTCCCTTTTCAGGCTTCGCGGCTTGGGTGCACGCTTTAGCACTTTAGAGGTTCTGCACCCCTCACCGACTCCCATAAGCTGTGTCTGTGTGTCCGTCCCGAGGTCGTCAACGCGGGCCCCGCGGGAAAATGCCTCGACGCCCACCCGCTCGCCCCAAACTCGGTGTGCGCCGCATCCAGGACTCGGGACACCGGTGGGGACTAGCCACAGACCCGGCTACTCCCAGGGGTACCAGCGGGGTGATGGGGGCAGGCCTTGCCGGGCTATAGGCTGGCAAGTCTGGAATATCTATGTAAGGAAAAGACCTGGGCCTTGTTCGTAAAGTGGCATTGACGCGACCTTTGCATTTATTCTTGATTGCTAAGGAGGAGGAGGAGGAGTCCGGTTCAAAACAGGGCAGGACCAGTTCAGAATAAATCTAGCCGGCCACAAGCAGCGGGATCTAGAGGTGCCCAGTTTCTAACAGCAAGGCCACTTTCTCCTGTGGTTCCGTAGTATGTGTGGTAAGCATATGTGATCATATGCGTGCAATATGGAGGTGCAGGGTAGCTCCCGGGGAGTTGTTGCCTTAATGAGTCTGCAAACCACGCGTGGGAAACCGAGGCAGGCTGGCATTCCTATCGAGGTGCCAGACAAGCTCCTACTAGTATTGAGGGTTATGGGAGAGCTGTCGCTGAGGCTGGAGGTCGCAGGGTACCACCTAACCGGTCGTTTCAACGCGACCCACCGCGCAGAGGCCACGAGCGTGTCGACTGCGCAGCGGAACCCCGGCCACGGTCACCCCAGCAGCAGACCCTTGCAGCTGCTGTCCACACACTCAGAACGTAGTGGACCCAGTGGTCCAGGCTCGCCGGCAGAGCGTGGGGTCTCCCACGCTGCAGGTGTGCGGGTCGGCTAGAAGATGCTTGCCCACGCGGGAAGCCGAGCGCCTCTGCTTTGCAGTGCCTGGCCAGCACCTTGCCACGCGGCGTTTGGAGTCCCCGCTCGGCTCAGTTTAGGACGAGAAGGGCGTGGACACAGCCTGGGTGGAAACGTCTAGTCTGCCACTCAGCTACTGTGACGTTCCTCCCCGCCCACGCTCGGAACAGACGCACAAACTTCCACCCACCAGCGCCTCGGTGGAGCCTCGCCACGGACCGGGGCGGGGCGAAGGGGTGGGCGGAGCCAAGGTGTGCGGGGGCGGGGACTCTCGCCGGAAGTCGCCCCTTCAGGCGGCGCTGCAGCGGGGGAAGGAGGGGCGCTCTAGGTCCTGTGTGAGGCGCCGCTCCCCCAGGTCCCGGTAGTTCTGAGTTTCGAACTCCCGGAGTCGAGCTCGCACACACTCTTCCTGCGGGGGAAGTTTCCCTCTGCTCCTCCCAGCCTTTACTCGCCGCTGTGTTCTCCGCTAGAAGGCAGGAGGCGGTGGGGGAGTTTTTTCTGGTGGGAAAAGAAAAAGTCATGGAGAAGTCCACCTAGCGCTTCGACCTGAGGACCTAGGGCAGGGAAACGTTTACTCTGCCCCTTGAACGTTACTCAAATCACCTGGCCCGTTTTTGTTTTGTTTTCTTTAATCTTTGGCTTTTAAAACTACAGAAAGGCTGTGTATTTGAGCTGTCGATCATTCTACCCAGGAGACCCGGTTCGCCCCCTAGACGCACACTTAAGCAAAAGGGGGTTGTCTCCCTTCCAAAACAGTTCGAGGGCTTGTCCCCCGCCCAGGACGGTCTGGATGGGGGGCGGTCAGCGAGGGTGTGGCCATCCATCTGAAGACCCTTAGAAACCTCTGAGTGAGGTGATGCAGGAGAGGCACACTCTCCCCAAAAGTTGGAGCCAGGCAGTGTCGTCCAGGCTGAGTGTGAGGAATGTGCCCCCAGGCCCGAACCGCTGCTGGCCCGGGGAGAGTTCTAGAGCCCCAAGGACAGGGCAGCAGTTGCACACAGCCCGCCCTCTCTCCAGGCGCGGAGCGCATCTTTTAATCCGAAGGCAGCCTTCTTCCCCACTGAGATTGTATGAACCGTTTCTCCCGATGCTCAAGGCATCCCTCAGGCCTACTGGATGCGGGTCCCTGGAGAGGAGCTTCAGGGATATCATAAGGACTGAGCTTGAGGCTCTCCCCAACCAGTTGGAGGTGAACAGGGACATTACTGCCGCCCCCAAGCCCCAGTCACCCCACCTTCTTTTAACTTGAAGCTGGCTAAAGAGAGATGCCGAGAGACTCTGACTGGGTGAGGGCAGGATAGCTCCTGTTAGGTTCCTGGGTAGGCAGAGGGGTGACTTGTTTTCCTGCCTGTACAGGGGTTTTTACAAGCCCCGCCCTGCCACCCCGCACCTGTCAACACCCAAGTAACCGTGTTCGCGACATAACCAACAAAGTAGAAACTTGGACTTCTCCCTGCGTGAGAATACAGAACAGATGTCTCCGTGTGTCTTACATCCAGCACACTATGCAACTGTGCTTTGATTAAATGTTGCTGGGTGGGGGGTGGATGACACCTTTCAGGACCCCCAGATTTGGAATCAGACATCAGCACTTTCTCAACAAGAACACTGGCCTTCGGAGCTTCTGATATTCCCGCATCGAGCCGCTGAGTGTGTGCCAGAAGGAGCAAGCGCCCATCGTGGGTTTTTTTTTTCTTTCTCTTTCACCCCTTATGGTATTAACCTGCCATATCTTACTTGCCCAGTTAATTGTGATTTGAAAACACTAGCACACCACCCAGAGGAGCGGGAGTGGGTGTAGTCCAGTGAGGTTACTTTCTCTTGTAATCCTCCCCTCCCTTTCCAATTTCTTTGATGATTTTTCCCATAAGCGCGTAAGCTGCAGGGACTTAGTGGGAGCAGGCCGCTCCTCCTAAACGTGATTCGGACCATATGCTTTCCACATTCATTCCCGCATGGGCTTTCTTCTCTGAACTAACTGCTAACACGTTATAGTCACCTTGAAATTTCCTCTGCTATTTTCCAATTAAAAGCTTAATAGCCCTGGAAACGGAGTTCATGTGGTGAAGTTTACCATAGCCCCTTGTTCTGAAAGGCTTTCTGCTGGGATCCCATTATGTGCTTGAATAAACCCTTTCTGCAAACAGAAATGGGACTCGGGGTTGTCAGGTGTTGGGTTACAATAGACTTTGAGGCAGGGGACATTTTACCAACATAAATACAAACCTGTCCCTATAGGGAGATGTTGTCAAATACTGGGATATGGAAAACATTCCCATCAAATATGAGAAAAGGATTACCGCGCTATATCAAATGAGTATTTAGATCTCAGCCCTCGATGTTCACTGGAGTGAAACGGGGCCCAGTCCCAAATAATACCAGAATGTGTGAGTGGCACCAGGATAGAGTGGCTGGGTGACCCAGGAAGGAAAGGGGACTGCCTTGAGAATGAAAATGTCCCCCCAAAACCTGGTGCAGAGCGCCTCTGCTTTCCTTCCTGAGAGAAACTCGTTACTCTTTATTTTCCGGATCCGTTTCGCGGACCATTTAGGAGAAATTCGGCTTTGAGAAAAGTCCGCGGTCCTTGTGTTTCTCAGAGACACAGATTCAGAGCGAAACAGTGCAAATCCCCAGGTTCCTGTCCTTCACAGTTCATGAGAACTGACTCCTGTAGGCACCCACTTTCCTGTTTCAGGCCCTACGACGGACGGGTGACCTCTGTCTCCCGTCCCCACAGTTTACGAAATTCCTTCCGGTTGTAGTGTTAGGAACTTGTTTTTCCTGGCGAAGGATGGCAAGGGGCCAGATTAGGAAAGGGCAAGAGACAGGGAGGGGTATCGGTCCCGTGCAGCTTTTGGGGTAGTCTCTCGGAGGTAGCATTCGTGTGCAAGGGCTCCACCAGGTCAGCCCCCAACATCCACCAACTCCTCCACGCGTCTGAAACCCGGGTGACTAAAGGCGTCGAGGGAAAAAAAGGTATGCAACTATATATTCCCCGTTCCAAGTTCTCTCCCCGTTCCAAACCCAGGCCGAGAGCTTGCTGCTTGAAAACGGGGCGATGCAGCCCTAGAATGCATAGTAAACCCAAACGGCCAGCGGCGCTCTCCTCCTTGGCCGGCTGTCGGGTCGGCCCTGGAAAGCGACCTCCAGAAAACGACTGTGGCCTCTGTGCAGTCCAGAGGTCAGGGACCGCAACAGACCCGTTTACGTTAACTTTCAGCCACACCGCAAAGAGCGGAGCTTAAAGCGGGACTCGGAGCCGCTAGCAAGCAGATCGTCCAAGACTTCCATGGTCCCCTTCCAATGGAGCTGTTAACCGGTCCCGAGTCTACGTTGTTGTATCTTGATTTTTGTTGGGTTGTTTTCTTGGAGGGATGGGAGAAGGCAGTTTTCTCTGTGCGTGTGTAGTGGTAGCCGGCGTTGGACAAACCCGTACTGTAAACAAGCAAAGAATAATAAATAGTTTATGCTGTCTAGAAACAAAAGAAGGGTTATGCGGTCATCGTATACACGAGCCTCTTCCCACTCTCACTCTAAGATTTTTATGAGTAGGGTTTATCCCTTATCCGTAAGTAAATCACAGCGCCTGTGGGGATTTGAACTGGGCAACTCCGGAGCTTGGTTGCTGATTCAGTGACCGTTGCGCGAACTAGTAGATCATACTGGGTAACTTGGGGGCCACTAATGTGTCTTCTAGCTCCGCTCTCTGAAAGTTTACACCTTGCTTAAGGAAAACATCCAAGAGAACACTTCCCGGCCTTCCAAAGCAGAGAGAGGTCTTTCAAGGCAGAGGTTGTTTAAAGACAGAAGGAGGTAGGTAGAAAATTAAAATTACCCAACAAAACGGGTTGTCTTACTGAAGCCTGACAGATTTAAAAAAAAAATTCTCATTTTCTTCTGCAGCAACGAAAAAGAAACTGGATTGCAAAATGAAATGAAGAAAAGAGCCCCCAAATTTCCGGATCACAACCACCCCTCTCACTCCTGACTCCAAGATTTTGTACTTGAAACCTGGTCCTCCCAGGGCCGACCTGCCGCGCACCCTTAATTCCCTTGCAAGCTCCGAATTGCTGAGGCCAAGTGTGGGTCTAGGGCTTATTGCTTCTAGACCAGGCCCGGAGCATCCTGAGAGGGTAGGGGAGAGGCCTGCCCGCTCGTTTACAAGCACTCACCCCCTCCGGGTCCCCCCTCCCCCGCGCGCGCGCCCCGTCCGCCCAGCGCGCCCGGTGTACCGCAGCGGCACAGTCCCTCCCGCCTCGGGAAGGGGTAGTGGAGAGCTTGGAGGAGGGGGGCTGTGAGCGCCCCCGCCAGAGAGGCCCGGCTGGCTGCAGGTGGTGAAGGTGAGGTGCAGGAACCCGAGGGGTGCCAGGGAGGAGAAAAGTGTGCGTGGGGAGTGCAAGGAGGCAGGGACCCTGGGGGTGGGGGTGGCGGTGGGAGGGAGGGAGGAGGGACTGGCAGTGGGGAGGGCAGCGGAGGAGGTGCTGGGTCCAACCAGAGAGGAAGGCAACAGCCGAGGAGTTGGCTCAGACCTTAACCAGAGCTCTCAACGGCTCCTTGCAGCGGCCCGAGAGTCTCGGCGTGGGAGGACCAGCGGGGTGGAGCTTGCGCCCTCCAGAGCCGCCGACCGAGACTCGGCCCGCGTGGGGACGGGCAGGCCACGAGCCAAGCGGTTCAGGCTGCGAGCGCCTCCGGAGCTGGGAAGACTTGCTGCGGTACCTCCGGCCACCGCAGACCATCCGAGACCTCCGGGAGCAGGCCTCCCGGCTCCGCGGTCCAGCTCCTGCCGCCCCGCTCCCGCCGCCGGCCGGGGGGAGCCCCTGGGCATGAACGGCTACGGCTCCCCCTACCTGTACATGGGCGGCCCGGTGTCGCAACCGCCGCGGGCGCCCCTGCAGCGCACGCCCAAGTGCGCGCGCTGCCGGAACCACGGGGTGCTGTCCTGGCTCAAGGGCCACAAGCGCTACTGTCGCTTCAAGGACTGCACCTGCGAGAAATGCATCCTGATCATCGAGCGGCAGCGGGTCATGGCGGCTCAGGTGGCGCTGCGCCGGCAGCAGGCCAACGAGAGCCTGGAGAGCCTGATCCCGGACTCGCTGCGGGCTCTGCCGGGGCCCCCTCCGCCGGGGGAC